ACTACCTGTGTCTGGAAGTCCTCAAGGTGATAAATTAACATAAAAATGGTACTGTTGTTCAATACTCCTAGAGTAACTGATGAAGCAAATGTAAAATTATTCTCCAACTAATGCCACAGCTAAATATCTCCTAAGGAGCTCTCAATCTGGTACTACAAAACACAGGAGAAGAACATTCATCACGAGCCAGAGCTGGCAAACAAACCAAACAGCACATCTAGACCCGCCCTAACTAAAGTTGAGTAAACAAATAAATTGCACGTATATTTAGAATGAAAAGTCATATAAAAAAGAAATAGAACCCTAAGGCCAAGATGCTATGAAAAAATCACAAATTGGAACAGACAGCTTATAAAAATAAGTGCACATAGTCATTAAAATGTACAGTACAACAGACAAGTTAAATGGTATATTAAACACAGCAAAACTAGAAAGCAATCTGAGGAAGTTGCCCAGAGTGCAGCAGAAAGACCTAAAGACGTGTGAAATATTCCAGAGAGGTTCAGAGACATGGACNAACCCTAAGGCCAAGATGCTATGAAAAAATCACAAATTGGAACAGACAGCTTATAAAAATACATGCACATAGTCATTAAAATGTACAGTACAACAGACAGTTAAATGGTATATTAAACACAGCAAAACTAGAAAGCAATCTGAGAAAGATGCCCAAAGTGCAGCAGAAAGACCTAAAGACGTGTGAAATATTCCAGAGAGGTTCAGAGACATGGACGAAGTGCACATAGTCATTAAAATGTACAGTACAACAGACAAGTTAAATGGTATATTAAACACAGCAAAACTAGAAAGCAATCTGAGGAAGTTGCCCAGAGTGCAGCAGAAAGACCTAAAGACGTGTGAAATATTCCAGAGAGGTTCAGAGACATGGACGATAGAATCAAAGATGTCAACTGGAGGTCTACAAGAGGTTCCTGGAAGAAGACACAGAGTAGATAGGGAAAAGCATGATTTTAAGGGAAAGTAAAATGAATTTTTCAAAACTGACGAAAGACATGAATCCTCAGATTCAGGAATCTAATAAGTCATTATTATACTAAACGAAAATAAATCCATATTTCTACACAAAACAGTGAAGTTTAGAGCACTAATGAGAAAGAAAACATTTCGAAAGCATTGCGAAACAACATAAAGAATCCATACTAAGTAACAGCAGTAGAACTGATACCAGACCTCAGGTAGCAACGACAGGTAATGTGTGTAGATGGGCTTCTGCTTCCCAGTGTGGTGAGTTTGAATTTTCTCTCTCCTTTCTCTCCCCCCTCGATCATTCTCTCACCAAACTGCCATGCCAGCCCTGGCATATTTCCCCATCAAAGAGTGGGATATTTCTATCATAAATGGTCTGTGTGTGCTGACAAAATGGGAATTTGAAGCAATATCAGTTGCTACAAACTTATTTAAGTTGCCTATGGGAACCACATGAGAGGAGGTGCTTGATCGGAGAGGCAGGTAAGGGGCGGGAGGGCAGAGTCGGGGGGAACTGACTCTGCTGCATGTACCCCACATCAGCACAGGCAGTGGGGCAGCCCAGCCGGCCGGCCTCTCTGCAAAGCCCTCTTAGGTGACTCTTGGCCTGTAGCCCTCAGGACAGGCGCCCCAGCGACACACAGTGACTTTGTTGGGAAGTGCAGAGACAGGCACACTCGCAGATGCACACCTAACACGCACCGGCACACATGCTCCCACCAAGGCTGGGGAGCGAGATGTGGCCCCCGTTCTGTCTCTGAACGACAGAACTGATGTTTGTGCAAGAGGACAGGTAAGGCAGACATCCAATGACTGAGCTAATTAGTGCCTTTGAGTGGTAAGTGTCACATTTGCAGAGGGAATGCACTGGAGAAAAAGCTGGAATTACCCAGAACAGCTGACAGTCCACCTTTCTCCAAAGCTGGTGCAGAGCCAGACGCCTGGGCTGTGCGGGCAGCTCAGTTTAGTGCCTGCCCTCAGCACTGGGCACTCTGCATCCCACAGCCTTCTGAAATGACAGCTTTCCAGTTCACACAGTTTTAGGTGTTTTAATTCCCTGAGGGGTTTGGTAAATGACTTTCTTTTAGTTCAATCCCACTTTAAAAATTGTTTATTCTGCTGCTGAAAATTCCATTTGTCCTAGGTCTTAAGGTGAAATTAAAATTCCTTTCAGGGACTAGCTATGCAGACATTGGATTTCAGCCTTTATTAGAAAGAAGGTAGTTGTTTGCTTTATTTCCAGCCATCCAGGGCTCTTTTCTTTTCATCACTGCTCTGAGGGTATTTGCAAGGAAAACTGATGCAGTAATAGAGTAGTGCGCTGGGTTTATGGCCTTTTCTGAGATGTAACAGAATGTTCTTTCTTGCCAGCCGTCTGTGGAATCGATTCCACAAAGCTCAAACAGGATCTTGCCTAGATGGTTCTCAAATGTCAAAGGCATACAAAAATGCTTCTGATTTCTGAAGACAAGCCTTTTTTCATTTATTCAAAGTACAGTTCCGTCCAAATATCTTTTTATCTGTTCTGTTTCCCAAGAGACAAGTTCCCCAAAGCAGCCAGCATTCTGAGATTTCTTCTTAAGCACCGTGACTGACAGGTGTCATCATTTATTAAATCACACTGAGCGATCACGTTCAAACATAAGCCTGATACACAGCATCACATGGCAACTAGAGGCCTTTCCTCTTTTCAGGTGTCATGAGAACAAACACTTCAGAAGCTGCCTTATCTTTGACTATTCATTCATTTGATTAGGATTTGTTGAATGACTGCCACGTGCCAGTTGTAGAAATGTATGGTTCAAAGAAATGTATGATATAGTTTGATGTGGACTGAAGGTGCCCGAGTCGGTCTCCTGGGTTGGGATCCTGTGTCCACCACCTGTGAGCTCTGTGACGTTGGGCACTGTGCTTAACCTCTCTGTGCCTCAGTTTCGTCCTCTGTGAAAATGAGAATAGTACCAGCACCTCCCTTAGAGGGTGGCTGTGAGTTCATACACATGAAGTACTTAGAACAGGCACATGTCACGAGCAAGTGCTACACAAATGCTAGCTGACATCATTACTGTTAATGTTAACCACAGCAGGTGCTCCAAAGGAGAGGCACGATGAGTGAAAGATCACAGGACAAATGACTGTCACCTACAGCAGGGGTCAGGGAAGCATCCCTGAGAACGTGGTGCTGAGCTGGGACTTGAAGGATGGAAGGAGTCCACGAGGAGCAATGTGGGGAACTCGAGGGTCGAGGGTGCACCCCAGGTAGAGGGGACAGCAGCTGCAAAGGATGCAGGGAAAGCAGCACAGGAGGAGGGGCACAGGAGGAGGGGCACAGGAGGAGGGTCGGGCATGTTGAGGACGGGGAGAGAGAAGACCCACGTGCTTGGAGCATAGAAAGCAGAGACAGGGCCAGCTTCCCAAAGTCCAGGCTTTTCACAGAAGTTAGTTGGACCCTCGTGACAGTCGAATCTGGAGCAAGCCCTGTGTTCAATGCTGATCTGTTTCTAGCAAGAGCCTTTTCAGGCTTAACCATGCCATGCTGCCATTTTTGTAGGGTGATGGGGTCCCTGCTCAATATCTGAAATAAATAGAGCTGGTCAGGCACGGTCTCCAACAGAGCTGACTGTTGCCCTCATAAAGGATTTTCAGCTCGTGCAGAGGTCAAGGAGCGGTGAGGTTCTAGAGGCCTTCGTGGGCTGACAGTGTATGTTCAGGAGGTCCCTTGGAGAGATTGTTGTCACTCAGTTGTCCCTCGGAAGTCTGGAGTGAGTCTGTGCTCGCTGGCTGACTCTCAGTAGCAAAGGCTATCGGGGACAGGCTGGCCACGAAAGCTGTGAACGAAGGCGGGTCATCATTGAACAGGTTCAGACCGGTTCTGGTGGCCACAGGACACCACAGCTGCAGGCCATCAGTGTCCTCCCAAGTTTGTAAGAGCAGTTTTTAGTCTCATAGTTCAGCCTAAGAAAGGCCTGCGAGAACGTACCCAACTCTTAAAAGCACGTGCCGCAGACGCTGACTGCTCACCACGGTTTTCTGGAATCAGTCAGAAAAGGAAGATACCCAGGTGGACGGTGCTCGCAGGGTCTGAGCGTGAGTGACGTTCCACTGGCAGTTCAAACACTTGCTTTTGTTTCGTAGATATGATGAAGACACAAGGCCATCCTCCCAAGTCGGACCCCTCTCTCCCCTGCACACCCATCCTGTACTTTTCCGTCTCTTTCTCACCACGGGACTCCTGTCTTCCTGCAGTGTTGTCACGTCGGAGCAGTGTCTCTCCGTGGGAGCTCTGTCCCCTCGCTTCTCCCACTCACGCAGCTGGTTCCGTAAACCAGCGCTTGCTGGGAGGGATCTAATCATGACCTTTCACCCTCTTGTGGTCTCTTCTAGTACAAGGCCAGTGGATAATTCCAACACGAGGCTGGCGGTCCAGATCGAAAGGGATCCAGGTAAGAAGATCTCCATCGCCCTCTTCTTAATCCACTTCTTTATTTTGTATATAGATGGATTCCAAAAGGGGAGTTAAATACTCCCTCTTCTTAATCGTGCTGGGGACAACGCACATCTTGGCATATACGCCGACTGCAGAATAAAACCATGCAAGCACCGGGGGTTGCGATCCCATTGCCGGTCCCGGTCCAGTGCAGGCGCGACACTGAGGGTTGCGATCCATTGCCGGTCATGAAAAAAGACAAAAAGGAAAAAAAAAAAAACCGTGCAAGCAAACAGCCAGGCACCCTGATGTGGTTTAGAAATGTGTTCCTCCATTATGTGGAATCGATGAGGGACCTGTTCCATGTCGAATGACTCTGTTAATCAAGACATTTAGTTTGTGTGTGGTGAATCAAGCACAGGTATAAACCTTGGGATTGGTCCTTTACAAAAAAACTTTTGGAAAAAATCAGCATTAGGACATCTTTAAAGGCAAGCTATTCCAGGATTCAGGATTCAGAAGCCTTCAGAGACTGTAGTCAACATTAAGCTGCAAGGGCTGGCTGGTTAGCTCAGTCGGTTAGAGCACCGCCTAGTAACACCGAGGTCAAGGGTTTGGCTCCCCATACTGGCCAGCTGCAAAAAACCAAAAACCAAAACATTAAGTTATATAAGGATTTACCTGCTAAAATATTATTTTACTTTTTTCTTTCCATAATGATTTCATTTAAACTACTCTTTTTCTTCTTCCTATCAGAATGCAATTTTTTTTTTTTTTTCTGACCAGTAAGGGGATCACAACCCTCGGCGCAGTGTGGTCTGCACCACGCTCAGCCAGTGAGCGCACCGGCCATCCCTATGCAGGATCCGAACCCGCGGCCTCGGTGCTACCAGCACCGCCCTCTCCCGAGTGAGCCACGGGGCCAGCCCCAGAATGCAAATTTTTTTTTTTTTTTCCTTTTTGTCTTTTTCCGTGTCCAGCAATGGATCGCAACCCTCAGTGTCGCGCCGGTACTGGACTGGGACCGGCAACGGGATCGCAACCCTCGGTGTCGCGCCCGCACCTCACTCAGCCAGTGAGCGGGAACCGGTCTGTATGTGGGATCCGAACCCTCGGCGGGAGCGCCACGGCGCTTCCCAAGCGGCGCACTGTAGCAGTGCGCCACCGGGCCGGCCCCAGAATGCAAATTTTAATTGTTCTCTATTTTTATCCACCTCACTCTCTCCTTTGTGCCAAGCATTTCATCTAGGAAGAGTTGTGTCATGCTCATAATCTGTATTTGAATTGCATATAGATGACTAATTTGGAGTCAGAATTTGAAATGTGAAAATACCTGGAGAGACAGGCTTGTGTTTTGTTGAACTTTAGATCAGTATAATGGTGTGGGTGGGGGGATGGGAAGATGGGTACAAATATCTCTGCGGTGCAGCCATGGGACACCGTGACATTGCAGGGCCATGGCTGTTAGGCATATAGACGTTTTCACAAGGACGTCATGCTTTTAGTTTATCACAATTGCCATCTCGTTTTAATCTAATTATGCAGATGTGTGGTCAATGTGTTCTGAGAAGATCCCTGAGTCAAATCTCTGGCTTTTAGTGATTTTAATTGTTTTGCGTTATGTAAACATCAAACACTTTGAACAATTAAGCAAAGGTGAATTCTCTCTTTCTGGCCTTTCCTTGAAAGTGCCACAGACAGACTGAAAGCCATCTTTAATTAGGGTCTCTCGATACGTGCAGACTCCTTGCAGCCAATGAATGTCATGGCAGGTCCAGCAGGCCGCATGTGCTTAGGACATTAAGCATGCCGATACTGTTAGGCTCCATGGCATGACTCATCCCGTGGAACAGTCTCTTTCCATTAATCACAATTAAGCTGTAAATGCACTCATTTCAACTCAGCTCTTGGCTGTCATGAATGCCCAGTGAGGTGGTTCATAGTTTGACAGTGTCATCTTATAGAGTTCTTGGAGACTAATGGGTGCCCTTCGTTATGTAAGTGCCCTGGGGGCCTCTTCACCTCCTGTCCCCACCATGTTGCCCGGTTCCTGGAGCACAGGCCGGGCGCTCTGGTCACATCTGCAGTCTTTATCCTGGAATCTGTTTCTACACCAGTAGGCAGCCCGGAGGAGCCTGGAGTTTTGCTTTTGGCATCTCCTCTCCAGGGCAACTCTATGCCTTGCTGGATTTCCAGAGCCAGAATTTCCTCCCCAAAGAAAAGCTGTTCCTGAAATGAAAGTCCTGAAGGCACACGTTTCTCCTAGCTGCCCCCAGTGATTCCTGCACCCACAGGACCACAGACCAGGAAGACTTCCCAGTTTATCTGGTCTTTTCTCAAAAAAAGCTTACATCCCTCATCTCGAGGGATCCTCTAGAGGGAGGGAGAGGAGTCAGGGCCCAGCGGGGAGGACACAGGGAGCGTGCCACACCCCCAATGCTACACCCGGGCCTTCTGTGCTCAAGCAGAGAATCCATCATTCCACCTCCTTTGCGGCGTTATTTTGGCACCTTCCCTGAGTGTCATCATTCACCCGTCAAGACAGCTCAAGTTAAAAGCACAGCAGCGATTGGCAGTGCTGAGTCCTGGCGAGGACACAGAGCTGTTGGTCATGCGGGGGGTGCAAAAATTTGGACAGCCACTCCTGGGTATTTACTTAAGAGAAACGACAAGTCGTCATCACACAAACTCCTGCTCATGAGTATCTGTGGTGGGTCTACCTGTAACCCCAGAACTGGAAACAACCCAAGTGCCTTTCCTCCGATGAAGGGACCAACAGACTGGGGTGTATGTACGAAGGGACGTTGCTCAGCAACGAGACAGACAGACCATTCACACGGACATCATGAATGCACGCAGCAGTCTAAGCCGATGAAGGGACCAACAGACTGGGGTGTATGTACGAAGGGACGCTGCTCAGCAACGAGACAGACAGACCATTCACACGGACATCATGAATGCACGCAGCAGTCTAAGTGGTGGCCACGTGGCCACATGCGACGAGACAGACAGACCACTCACACGCACATCATGAAGGCACGCAGCAGTCTAAGTGGTGGCCACGTGGCCACATGCGACGAGACAGACCACTCACACGCACATCATGAATGCACGCAGCAGTCTAAGTGGTGGCCACGTGGCCACATGCGACGAGACAGACCACTCACACGCACATCATGAATGCACGCAGCAGTCTAAGTGGTGGCCACGCGGCCACATGCGACGAGACAGACAGACCACTCAAACGCACATCATGAATGCACGCAGCAGTCTAAGTGGTGGCCACGCGGCCACATGCGACGAGACAGACAGACCACTCAAACGCACATCATGAATGCACGCAGCAGTCTAAGTGGTGGCCACGCGGCCACATGCGACGAGACAGACAGACCACTCAAACGCACATCATGAATGCACGCAGCAGTCTAAGTGGTGGCCACGCGGCCACATGCGACGAGACAGACAGACCACTCAAACGCACATCATGAATGCACGCAGCAGTCTAAGTGGTGGCCACATGGCCACATGCGTGTTTGGAGACTCATAGAAGAGTGTGCTGTAGAAGATGGGTCCTCCCCTGCTCTTCATCAAACCTGGGCTTTGTACACATATACTTTTATATACATAAAATATACAAACACATGGCTCCAGTTATATACACAATATAATACATTATATATGTGTGTATATATATATATAAAATTTACAAACACATGGCACCAATTACATATATAATATAGTAACATATATGTGTGTATATAGTGTGTATTAGAATATTTAAAAATGTACGTCTGTATATATTACATAATACTAGTAATAAATGTGTTATATAGTGAACATATATATAAATTGATGCTGTTTATTGTCTGTAAATTTCACTCTGATGACTTTGATTTAAAAAAAAAAACACCTGGAGTTACTTGGTGGATATATTCTTAAAAACAGCATTTCTCTTAAAGAAGCCGTATGATCTATGGTGTTATCTATTATTCAGCAGATATTTAATTAGACCTTATTACATGTTAGGAATTCTGCCAGTATTGGGATACGAAAATAAGCAAATTCAGACATAGATCTGTCTTCATTGAATTTATAGTCCATTAAGAAATCAGATGTTAATAAAATAACCATATACTCATATGGACACAAAACAAGAGTAAAATTCCAACTGTGACATGTGCTTCAAAGCAAAGGACCACAGCGCTGAGAGCCTGTAACAGGGCATTTGTCCTGGCGAAGTGACCAGTGATGGTGGCCCTGAAGCGGTGATTGAGCAGGGCTCTGAGGAGTAGTAGCACAGTAAGCCGGAGGGAATCCAGAGCAGCCCAGACAGATCAGCATCTCCGAAGGCCCGCCCAGGGTGACAAGGGGCTTGTGAGCCACTCGACTAAAAGGAGTTCTGTGTTGCTAAGCGATAGGGTGATGGGGAGCTTGACGTGAGGTGCGGATCACGCAGTGCCTCTGGTATGATCACGTGAGCTGGATTTGCTCAGGACGGTCCTAGCTTATTCCTCTGAATGATAAATTATGTTGTCACCCTGTTATCGGCCGCGTTAAGAAGTCTCATCTCTATTTTAAAGCATTGAGCAGCCACTAAAGGTTTTAAGTAGTGGGGGCAGAGGGTCCTGGCTAACACATTCGACTTTCAACTTGAGAAGTTCATTCTGGCTGCAGTGTCGAAAACAGAGGGGAGGGCAGGTCCCAGTGAATGGACACTGGTGAGTCCCAGGGCCAGCGTGGGTGTCCATGGGACACAGATCGGGAGCTCGGAATGGGGTGGAGGTAAGAGAGATGGAGGAAAGTAGAAAGATGCAAAAAACACTTGAAGAGGGTGACATTGAGAAGAAGTGGGACAGAAGGTCCCTAGGTGTGGCCACGGGGTGGTGGTGCCGTTCACTCAGATGGGGAACAGGGGCGAGGGGCTCCCCGATTTGGACACGTGGATGTTGAGGAGCATTGGGACGTACAAGAGAAATGGTAAGTAGGACAGCAGGTGGACAGGTGTGGCTCTCAGCTGGAGGTATGAACGTGTAAGTTACCTGCTTTTAGGCAGGAATTAAATCCATTTGTGTAGATGAGATTGCCTGAGAGCATAGAGGAAGCGATAGGAGGGTCTCGTACAATCCACTAGATCGAATGAAGTACAGGTCTTCCTTTTTGTGTGTATCATCAGACGACAGCTCCCGGTCCCCTCGGTCTGAGTCCGTAGGTAGTGAGCGTTCACTGAGAGTTTTCCTCTTCCACCTGCAGGGGGCGATGACAACAACCTCAACTCCATCTTCTACGAGCACCTGACCAGGACCCTGCAGGAGTCCCTCTGCGGAGACCTGCTCCTGGGTCGCTGGGGTAACTACAGCGCCGGCGACTGCTTCATCCTGGCTTCAGACGACCTCAACGCCTTTGTCCACCTGATCGAAATCGGAAATGGTCTTGTCACCTTTCAACTCCGGGGGCTGGAATTCCGAGGTGAGAATCTCCTCTCTGTGGGAGTTGCTGGAAGCCAGTCCCTTGAGTTTAATTATCATGCAAAGCCCTAGTGAGAAGTCACCACTGAAGAGGAAAGATTTAGTGCCTGTTGTGTGCAATGAGAATTAGGGAGCTTGCAACCGCTCCCCTTAACCACATGGTCTGATTTAAATAAACCCCGTCATGCAAGGGGGCAATGACATGAAGCATGTAATCCTGTGTACACCCGTGGGTTAGCAAGTCAGGACATTGGCTTTAATCCTTCTGGGAAAAACTCGAAAGCAGCCGGAGGTCATGGGGCAGGCTCCACGTGCAGTCACCCAGCCCCGAACTGAGTCTGCAGGTCACAGGTGCTGGGGTCTGTTTTGCAGACCCCAGGGGTCTTTCCGCTTGTCTTTTCCATCCACAAAATGATAATAATGATTAAACGGCTGCCTCCCAAAGTTGTTGGGTTTAAATGAGGTCCCCGCTGCGTGGACGCTCGCTGCTTTGTGGGTACGGAGTCTGCCTGCATCTCGGAAGTGCAACCCCAGGTTTTCCACGAGCCGGGGCTGGAGCTGTGTGGATCACGCAGGGGCAGCATGGTCGATGCGCCCCGCTCCCTCCTCCCATGTCCTCTGTTCTCTCCTTCGCCCGCTGCCTGTTTTCTGAACACCTGCCCTGTGTGGGGTGACGTTCTGATGCTGGAGTGACAATGAGCCTGTGACGTGAGTCTCACCCCAGCAAAGTTCACCTCCAGGGAGAGACACAGAAAATAAACAAGTCAACAAAGGAGAAAGCTAATTGCGGCCTCGGGAAGTGCTATGTAGGAAGACCATGGGGTCCTGGGACCGAAAGTCACCGCAGAGGGTGCGGAGGTGCCTTTTCAATGGGATGGTCGGGAAGACTCTAGAGAAGGGAAGAATGTTCCAGGTGTGGGGCCTGATGTGCGCTAAAGCATGAGTCGGGCAGCCATGGGACAGAGGAGGCGCACTGGGATCTGGTTGGAAGGGAGAGGAGGAAGGGCCTTCCCTGCCAGGAGCCCCAGGGGTGAGGACAGAGGCACCAAGTCCCAGATGTGGCTTCCAGCAAGTAGTTCGGGAGGAAGTGGTCAGAGGTGCTGCTAGAGAGGTTATTACCGGCCACAGGCCCGGCTGCCTGTCCCCTTTCAAAAGCAAACAACTCAAAAGTCAAATGTTGGTGAAAACGGAGGTCAGATTTTATTCCGGAACACAGTGACCTGGGGAGAGATGCTGGGCTGACCCATCTTTCTGGTAAACTTCAAGGAGAGTGGCCAGACCAAAGCCATCTCAGAGACTCAGATTCACTGAGGGGTTTTAAAGAGGGGGCTGAGGGAATGGAACGTGGGACATGAAAAGCAGGAGGGAGGGGACGTGAGCCGCAGGGGCTCCGTGTCTATGAGCCAGGTGCACGGTCTCACCCAGGCTCCATCTGGTTTCTGCTCCCGTCCTTGCTGTTATCTCAGAGTCCTGCTGGAGGGGGGATCAGCACAGCTTTAGTGATGTCTGCCTCGGTTTCCCAGGGTCTGGGTGGTACGTGCAAGTCTGCAGCTCCAGGCTGGCTGGAAAACTTTACATTCACGTAAATTGTGTCGTCTTGCCCCATAATCAAGGTTCAAAATATCAAATAACCGTGGGAAAAGAGGAAACTCAGAGAAATCCTAGCCAAGAAAAAAACTGTGTCCTCTTAAAGTCTTTTAGAGCCCAGGAGGTTGTAGGTCCCAACATGGCTTTGGTTCTGCTCATGCCAACAAGGTGAGCAGGAGCCAGTTCACTGCTGTCCAGAGCCTCGCTGTGACAAAAGTCACCTTTTAGCCCAGAACAAGTTGCTGTGATTCCCCATCTTGAGCACCATTGCAGAAAGGGTTCTCGGTTCTTTGTATGAGAATTTCTAAGCATTCGTTTCATGGGTATCACTCCTTTGAACGTTTCTAAATTTGTACAAAAGACGATTTTTTTTCTAGAGCAGTAGGTCCTGTGTTTTAGGCGTGCATTCTGTGCATTTTTATGAATTTCAGGGATCTAATTTAGGAGCTCTGTTTGGACACAGAAGTCGGGCAGGGGAGGAGTGATCACACTCAGCAGAGTAATCACAGAAGCTGCGTTTCTCCTAAAGTTTGCTCAGAGGCCAGAAAATGCCTCAGGAGGTGGTGGAAATGGTCTGCGATGCGATAATGCCACAGAACTGTCCCCTGGATTTGTCTGACTCTCAGCTATTTTGAGAGCTTTTCAGTTTTTCCTGGAATTCAAGGGACGAACTTTTAAAGCTAACCTAGCTGAACATGAGTTGCATTTCTTATCACACGTTCTATGTCGTTTTCAGCTTCTTTTGCAAACTTAACCAATCTTTGGGTTCTAAGGATCCAAAGCTAATTGGATGTTGGAAGTTTGCACAATTTCTCTGTCTGCCAGCTCCTCAACAAACAGGGCTTTTCCTTCCCTACCCTCCTCATGTCTTGGTCTAACCTCATGCCCATGACCTCTTGGGGCACAACCGCCGTGCAGCCGAGTGGCTCAGGACAGCAACGTTGCGCTGTTCCTCACTGTGCGTGGGCGGACTGCTGGGTCTGTGGCTGCTCCCGCCTGGGCTCACTCATACAGCTGCATCCAGCCAGGCCGGGGGGTCCACGATGCCACCTCTGGGGGCTGGCTGCCAACCCTGGAACTTTGGGTCCCCTCTATGAGACACTCAGCCTCCAGGGTGCTGGGCTAGATGTCTTCACAGCTGGGTGGTCTCTGGGTTCCAAAAGGAAGAAGATGGATCTGCAAGATGGGCGCCATGTCACTTCTGCCACAGTCTGGTGGCCAGAGCCATTCCCAAGGGTAGCTCAGACCAAGGGGGTAGGAAAAGCAGCCTCATCACATTGCACAGTGGCCTGGTGATGAGGAGGCATGAGGTCCCCAGGGCCAGTATGACAGCAGCATTCCAGACTCCTGAAACTTCATGGGGGAAATGCAGAAGGAATCCTGGAACTGTCACAAGCATGGTCACACCCAAGATAGGTGCGTGGTTGCTAAGGCAAGACTGCCCGACAGGGACTTTCTGTCATCCCCGCCGTTGATTTTCCTTTCTCCTGCCACCCACAGTAGGAATGTGACCTGGCTGGAAGGGTCATGTTGGTACAATAACATCTTGAGACAAAATGCCGGCTAACCTGCCCCTACCACCAGCTCCTTTGTAGCCCGTTTTCTTTGACCTAGTTCAGCTGAGATTTGGAACGTGGGGACTTTAAGAGAGCATATAACGTGACAAAATCTAAATTATGCTCTTGTTGCAGAAGAGTCCAGTTGACCTACAATGCCTGTTTGGTTTCATGTCTCTTTGCCATTGATAACACAGCATTCCCAGGGAAGGCGTCTTCTCTTTGACCTCCTTGGGTATTTTTCTGAGTTTTCTTTTCAGCATTTTACTTGTCTTTTCAATTCCCTGTTTTCCCAAACAGCGGGCTTTATTTTGGTCACATTTAATCTACTTTGGCACAACCTGAGGACAGTCAAAATACAGGTGGGCGGTCTTCCCTCCTGCAGCCTACGGAAGCCACCGTGGAAGCCGGAGCTGTTCCCAGCACAGGCTGTGACTCCCTCTCGGGAAGTGAGAGGTGCACCCAGAGGAGGGTGGTCCCCCGAGGCCGCAGTCAGGACAGTTCCCCCCGTCTTTTCCTCCCTGAAAGGGACGGGTTTGTGTCAGCAGGAGTTCTGAGCTGCAGGCTACAGAAATCACCTCTAGCTAACCCGAGCAGAGGAAGGGTCTGCGGACGACATCGCACGGGGCACAGACTCGTGGGAAGCTGGAGAAGCAGGGTTGGCTGCTGTCACGCTGCAGCTGCAGGGCTCAGGCAGTGTCCTCAAGTCGTGACACTGCGAGCCTGGACAATGGCCACTGCGGCTGCCACCCCTGCTGCCCTGGAAACAGAGTGAATAGCCCCTGCCACCTCCTCTCACCCAGAATGTGTCCCTCATAGTCAAAGTCAGGTGTGGGCCCATCAGATTGACAAAGCCGAGGTCACATGCATGTGAGTGCACTCTAGATGCAGGGGCATGGGTGGCTTTTCAGTCCCTACAGTGGGAGGTGGTCACTGCCTCTCACCAAGACTCCTAATGAGTACAGCGGTCCCCGTTATCCACTGGGAACACGTTCTAAGACTCCCAGAGGATGCCCAGCGCCACGGAGAGTGCCGGACCCTACACGTCCATGAACACCTACACACGTGCATACCTGTGGTAAAGCTGGATGTGCGATTAGGCACAATCGGGGATTCACAATAACTAGTAATACAAGAGAACAGTTGGAGCAGTATGTCAGCATCACTACGCCTGCACTTTGGGGCCATCATGGTGTAACATGAGGGTGACTTGAGCACAAGCACCACGATAGTGGGTCTGATACCCGCGACGGCTGCTGAGTGACTCACGGGCGGGTCAGCGTGGCCAGCGTGGACGCGCTGGACAGAGGGAGGGTTCGCGTCCCAGGCGGGAGGAAGCAGGATGGCAAGAGGTTGCATCACAACAGCGTGCAATTTAAAATGTGTGAATTGTTTGTTCTGGAATTTTCCATGTAATATTTTCGGACTGCGATTGACTGCAGGTAACTGAA